CTGCGTCCCCGCGGGTGTCCCGAGCCTGGGCCGGGCGGCGCTGTGCCGGCTCCGAGAAGGCGGCTTGCAGCAGCCGGCGAGCCGAGGCGCAGTGCCTTAGCACGGGGTCCGGGAGCCCCTGGTGCTTGCTGGAAACGCAGGTCCCGCCCGTCTCCTCACACCGTTCGCGCCCTGCTGGAGCGCGCGCCCGGGTCGGGCCTGCCGGGCGAGGAGCTGCCAGCCGAGCGGGCCGTGAGAGCGGCCGCAGGCCTCCTCCTCTGCCGCGTCTGCCCGCGGCCAAGTCCCCGGTGGCCTTCCCTGCAGCTGAGCTCCGCAGCCCAGACACCTGAGCTTTCCAAGGATGCCTCAGACCCCACCCCGGCCTGTAGCAGCTGGGATTTTTCACCTGCTAATGTTTGAGATACGGGGGCTTAAGACCACCCACGTGGTGTTCTCCAGGCGGCCGTAGTCCTGTAGGAGTCACCACCCACCTCCAGGGGCATGTGGGCCGAACAGAGCTACTTCGGCCTGCTGAGCTGCCTCTAAAGACCAGGCCCTGAAGCACCGATTGTCTCTGGGGTTTGCTGGGTAGGACGGGCCGCTCCTCAGCTCTCACCTGCCTGTGGCGATGCATTGGCATGGGCAGGTCGTGTCGAGGACAAATGCCAAGCGGTTGGCTCTCACTGGTGACCTGAGGTTTGCCCTGGAGAGCTCTGTGGGCTCTGCCCTCCTGCAGTGCAGCGCATCCATCCCGGGCTGGAATTGATGGGGTGAAGTGAGGTGGCGGCAGGAGGGCTCTGAGACACGCCCTTTTTCAGTGGCCTGCATTTGCCCCTGGAACCTTCATAAGATTTCAGTGTTAAGCTTCAAGCAGAAATTTACAGCACACAGGCTTGCTAGATGAAGGGCAGAGCTGGCTCTGGAGATTCCAGTGGTGGCTCGCGTTGGAGGCTCTGCGTGCTCCCCCCCTGCAGAAACTCCCCGTGATTTGTGAGATGTATTCAGGTAGAGGGGTCTGCTGCTGGGATAGAGGAGGTGGTTACTGGCTGGTGTTTGGGCCGTACTTCGTCAAGACCAGACTGAGCTGCAGTCCTCCCTTGATTTTTTTAGTTTTGTGAGTCAGGGGTCTCATTAGGTAGTTCATATTGGCCTTGAACTTGAGATACTTCTGCCTCAGCCTCCCAAGTGCTAGGCTCCAGGCTTGCACCACCACGCTCTACTCTTCTGCAGTGTGTCTTGTTTGCAGCTTCGGCACTGTGCTTTGGGCTGTGTGGCTGCAGAGGGAGGGTGTGGGAATTGCAGAGGCCACGCCTGCTTGGTTTGCTTCTTTGAAGGGTTTGAAGGGCTGCTTGTAGAGCTGAGCTGGGGTTGCTCTGGATGGACAGCCTTGCATCTTGGCCTGTGGGGAGCCAGCAGGACTTGTGAGGTGTCTGCACCCCAAACAGTCTCCTGTCACCTGGCTGCGGCTTTCTGTCAGGAAGCCTTTGGGGTTTTTCAGTGTGTCAGCATGCACCCTGCCTGCCTGTCCTGCACTCCGTTCCTGCAGGTATCGCCATGACCACAGGAAGCCCTCTTGAGTGTGGGGTCTTTCCCATCACCCTGAAGGGGGCAGAGAAGAGGTGTCTTAGCCTAGAGTTGGGGTGACAGCTTTTTGATGTGCTGCAGGGCCCCATGTGCTGGTCACATGCTTTCCTTTATCCTTTCCTGGGGAAATGAGCACTTTGCTTTTGTGCTGGTTCGGAACCCAGGGTTTTGTGGTCTAGGTCAGCACTCATCACTGAGCTGGGCCCTCGGTCTGAAAGCAGTTTCTTAAGCTGTGGATTCTTTCCAGTCCCTACTCCAGGGTTTCATCAGTAGACAGCACTCTCCATTGTGAACCCAATCCGTGGCTTCCTGTCCTGTGAGCTCCAGTGCCATGGCCACGGAGGAGAAGAAGCCGGAGACAGAGGCCGTGAGGCCACAACCTACCCCCTCCTCCTCGGCCACACAGAGCAAGGTGTGTGCCCTTGCTGAAATCCCTAGGGAGCCTCTGGGGCAAGTAGTTTTAAAAGATTTTAGTGATGTAGGGGCTGGGGAGGTGGCTCAGCGGAATAAGCACTTCCCTGGCAAGCGCAAGGACCTGAGTTCAGTCCCTGGTTCCACAACCATTTTGGCGATGTGATTGCAACACTGTCAGCCTGGTCTCCTGGACTGGTTCAGTAGGCTGCCCATCTTCCTCTCTGACCACCGTGGCACATGTGCCCGTTGTAGGCCACATTAGGGATTCGGAGTCAGAAGCACAGAGTCCTAGTTGGATGCGGTGGTTCAAGCCTGTAATACTAGCTGTTTGGGAGGATTACAAGTCAAGGTCGGCTGGGCAGTCTATTAAGACTGTATTCTGTCTCAACATAAAAGGGCCTGGGGATGGAGCTCAGTGGTAGAGCACCGTCTTTGATTGCCACTGCTACAGAAAAACATAAACCAGATTCTTGGTCCTGGTTGTAAGAGTCTGGAGGACCCAGAAAAATCTCTCTGGCTAAGCCCCCGGCCTGGCCGCACAGCTCTGGTTCCTAAGCAGGTCTTCCTGTCTCCAGGCGACAGGAGGCAGGGCCTTCTGCGCTCTGCACACCTTCCCCCAGCATGGGCGCAGGGGCAGGTGCTGCACGGGCTTGCTGGGCCCTGGGGGTCTTGGGTGTGTGCTTCAGATGTGCCGGGCGGTGGGGATCAGTGAGGCGCAAACTTGGAGGTGGTGCTTCTGAGGTCACTGAACGCAGCCTCTGGTTGCTGCGAGGCGTGTGGGGCTGGAGTCAGCTGGAGCAAGGGTACTTGCTGTGGGCCAGCTTCAGTGTCTCCTCTCTCCAACAGCCAACACCTGTTAAACCAAACTATGCTCTCAAGTTTACCCTGGCAGGCCACACGAAAGCTGTGTCCTCCGTGAAGTTCAGCCCGAATGGAGAGTGGCTGGCAAGCTCGTGTGCGTATGCGCTCAGTGGCTGGCGGGGGGGACCTGGGTGGGCTGGGCTGGTTTGCCCCAACATGGCCTGTGCCACACATCCCTCTCTGGCACCACGGAACCACTGTTGTTGAAATTGTGCCCCTTCAGCCGGGCCTGGTGGCACATGCCTGTAATCCCAGCACTTGGGGAGGCTGAGGCAGGAGGCTTATTATGAGTTTGGGACCAGCCTGAACTGCATATCAAGACCCTGTCTCTAAAAGACAAAAAAAAAGAAAAGAAAAAGAAATTGTGCCCTTTGCCACTGGGAAGGGGAGGGCCCAGTCCCTCCTACATATCCCTGCCCCTGCTTAGAGGCTTCCTGAGCTATCTTTATCCTGCCTTCTGGAAATGAGCACTTTGTTTTTGTGCTGGTTCGGAACCCAGGGTTTTGTGGTCTAGGTCAGCACTCTCATCACTGAGCTGGGCCTTCGGTTTGAAAAGCAGTTTCTTAAGCTGTGGATTCTTTCCAGGCCCCACTCCAGGGACCCGGAAGTGCTGAGGAGCAGGGCTGAGGGTGCGGACAGCCTGGGCCATGCGCTGAGCAGCAGCTCTTTTTCATCTCTTCCAGCTGCTGATAAACTCATTAAAATTTGGGGTGCATATGATGGGAAGTTTGAGAAGACCATATCGGGGCACAAGCTGGTAGGTATCCCCCTGTGCCGCTGGTGAGCCCGTGGGGTGCTGGGGCGGTCAGGGCAGATGGGACTCCCACCCCTGTATTTTTTTTTTTTTTTCTTTTTGTGGAACCGGGGATTGAATTCTGGCCCTTGCGCTTGCCAGGGAAGCACTTATTCCACTGAGCCATCCCCCTGGCCCCTCCTGTATTTCTTTGTGGGGTTTGCCTTTTGTGTTTTTTGTGCAGACCATTCTTTTTAAAATTTTATTTATTTATTTATTTATGTGTGTGTGTGTGTGTGTGTGTGTGTGTGGCCAGCTCAGCCCACCAGGGGGCGGGACTGGCTGGCATGTGGTGCTGGGGGATTGAACCGTGGTCCCTGTGCTTTGCTAAGCTTGTTCTAAGGTGTTTTAGACCACTGAGCCATCTCACCAGCCCCTGTGCAGACCATTCTGACCTTGCAGGTAATCTGCTGCCTGGCAGAGCCACCATGAGAGGCCGCTGCTGTGGGCCTACACGGGCCCTGTGTATGCCTCCCATGTGGCAGTCACTGGCCAGGGCTGGGGACTTTGCTGTGTGTGGGGGCGCTGGCCTCTGTCCAGAGATGGTAGCCTCGCGTTTTCCTTCCCAAGGGCATATCAGACGTGGCATGGTCTTCGGACTCTAACCTCCTTGTTTCTGCTTCGGATGACAAAACCTTGAAGATATGGGATGTGAGCTCTGTAAGTGGCCCAGTCCTTTTCTGGGAGGGTCCGCAGAGGGCTGGTCCCCAGGAGGTCGTCGGATGCCTGGTGACCTTGGCCTTACGTGGCCCAATGCTGCTTCCTAGGGCAAGTGTCTGAAAACCCTGAAGGGCCACAGCAACTACGTCTTCTGCTGTAACTTCAACCCGCAGTCCAACCTCATCGTCTCAGGGTCTGTAAGTGCGCTGCCGTCTCCTCTGGGGGCCGGGGCGGCCTGGGCTCCGGGTGCCCTCCTCGCCGCTGCCCAGGCGCTGCTCTGATCTCCTTCGTCCTTTAGTTTGATGAGAGCGTGAGGATCTGGGATGTGAAGACGGGGAAGTGCCTCAAGACTCTGCCTGCTCACTCCGACCCGGTCTCGGCTGTAAGTCCCCCGTGTGGTTGAGGCTGTAGCACCCAGGACGCCAGAGCTTGGGCTCCAGGCCAGTGTGTGTGGGGGGGTGGCCTGAGCCACCTCACAGAGTGGGTGACTGGGTGGGAGGTGTGGGGGCGGGAGTCTCCTGGTGGGCACTGTGGTCACAGTAAGGGGAATTGGGGTGGAGGTGGCTTTGATGAGCCGGGTGACGGGGTGACATGGGGAGGCTTGCGCTGTCAGTGCTGGAGCCCTTGGAGAGCAGATGTGCCCTGGCCTGCCACGCAGATGCCACCCCAGTGTCTGGGACAGTGCCATCCATTCTGCAGCCTCGTGGAGAGCACTCTTAGCATCCCACAGACTCAATCCCTACACCCTTGGGTGGGGAGAGGGGTCCTGTGGCTCCACTTGTGTTTCTGGGAGGGGAGGGGACCTCTCTTTCCCGATCCTGGTGGCACAAGGTTTTAAGCTTTTCCAGCCTGGGAGAGCTTTTGTCTGGCCCAAGACCATACGTATTGTTTGTTTTTTTTTTTTTGGCGGAACCGGGGATTGAACTCAGGCCCTTGTGCTTGCCAGGGAAGCGCCTATTCCACTGAGCCATCTCCCCGGCCCCGACCATGCGTGTTGAACAGATGGGTATCCTAGCCTGTGCCCACAGCCCCCTGGGGTGGAGGGCTCATTCCTCGTGTGAGGGCTGGGGGAGTGTAGGCCCAGTTTGGCCCGATGCCACCCTGCCCTCCGGGACCGTGCACAGTCACAAGGTGGAGCTGACTTCCATGAGAGTCAGGGTGCACTGAGGGACCATAGGACTTAGGCAGCTGCCGGCACTAGCTGGGACAGCTGCGGGTCTCCCGAGGCAGGCGATGTCCAGCAGGCCTTCTGCAGAGCTCTGCCAAGACCTGAGCACTTGCCCCTTGAGCCGTGGGTGTGGCTGGCCATACCTGCCACAAGCCTCTTGTGCATCATGCACAGGCAGGGGTGGGTGGGAGGTCCCCAAGGACCCTGAGGCAGGGGAAGAACTGGGCATGGCAGCTATGGGCAGGCTGAGGCAGGGGGTGGCTACTTTGAGCTCAGGCTGGGCAACTTAGTGACTGAGATCCTGTCTCAAAATAATAAAAAAACAGGATGGACTGGGAATGTAGCTCCGTGTTCTTGGGCTCAGTCTGTAGTGTCCCCCTAGAAAGCAAAACATCTGTTTTTATGAGTTCACTTGTTGAGATGCTGGCTCAGGTGCATTGGGTTGAAAGGAGGGGTTAGGGTCACCAGGCCTTTGACCTTGGAGCTCGGTGCCGTTGCTGTGTGGGGGACCCTGGGCCAGCAGTGGCCATGTCACTTGTTTGGAAAGCACCTTCAGAACTAGAAGCTGTCGCTGCCCAGGGGCTTAGGCCTGTGCAGATCTGGCCCCTTGAGGAGCTGTGGGCATCCCCTTGTGTCCCATCCCTTCCCTGGGCCAGGCCGAGAGCCAGGCAGTGTGGCCCCTTGGGGGGAGTGGGGGAGTAGCCCCAGGGCTTCCTTGAGCTTTCGGCCCCCCCCAGCGTTTTCCTTATAGTGCAGAGCGAGAGGGCTTTGTTGGAAGGCTTGTCATGGGTCTCACCTGCCCAGGACTCAAAACAAATTCGTGCTACACTTTAATTCCTGACATATTTCATTTTTTGTTGTGGAGTTTCACTTTTGGGGAAAAAAGTAAACAATGGGGAACGATTCAACTCGAAAGGGATTGCTGTGCAGCTCTCCCTCCGTCCTTGGGGTGAGCAGGCCTGCATCCAGGTGGAGCTGGTCGTCTGGGACCACCTGAGGCTGTCGTCTCCCAAGACCCAGGCATGGGTCTGCTACTACTTGGGAGCAGCTACTGGGGGGGGGGGCGGCTCCCCAGGCTTATCGTTCTCCCTTTTGTATTGGGACTCAAATTCGGGGTCTCCTGCCTGCAGGCCCGTGAGCCTTCTTTGTGCCAAGTTGTGGCCAGCCTTGTGGGCCCACCAGGCCATCCTCATGGGGCTGGGCGAGGGTTTGGTTCTAGCTCCTGGCGGTATTGTGGTTGCCCACGTTGGGGCACCAGTTGCGATCCAAGGCTGGCTGTGGGTTGTGGTCCAGAAGTCTCAGAAATAGGCTGCCTTCTGCTGGCCGCCTCAGGAATGCCGTCGGTTCACCTGTCTTGCCCCTGGGTCCTGGTGGCCACTGGGAAGGGTGCAGGCCCGAAGGGAAGGGTGTGTGGTGGCATGTGCGCTGCCGGGGGCTCTGCGAGTGGGCTGTGCAGGGTGCTGAGCCCCGGGTGGTAAGTGTTCTGTCCCTCTCTGTCTGATTCCTAGGTTCACTTTAATCGTGACGGGTCCTTGATAGTTTCCAGCAGCTATGACGGTCTCTGGTGAGTTCCATCTTGTCGTCCAGTTGGTGACGGCCACACCACTGCCTGGTGCGCTGTGGAGGCTTCCTGACACGGTCTGGGGCATGCACACGTGCACGAACGTGTCGCGGGGGTGGGGTGCGCCGCCCCTGGGGAGGAGGAGGGCGAGGCCTGTGTGGGAGTCTCAGGGTCCTGTGGGCCTGGTGGGGGTTGTGACACAGGCGATTCAGGGCATGCAGGGAGGTAGGGGCCAGGGGCTGGAGTGCGGTGGAGTTGAAGCAGCGTGGCTGATGACTTCAGGGCTAAGCGCGGTCCGCAGGAAGGGGGTGGTGGCAGTGGGTGATGTGACCAGGCTCTCCCAGGCAGGGAAGGAGGAGGGACTAGACCAGGGCCACGCTCACGAAGGTCAGAAGCACAGAGGTAACCTAAGGCCACCACTGAAACGCAGCATGCTGGGGACAGAGTGGCAGAGGGCTGGCTGAAAACTTTCTCCATTTGGGCACCAGGGACGCTGCCACACGTCTGTCATCCATCCCTCTGGAGGGCTGAGGCAGGAAGATGGCAAGTTTGAGTCTAGACCAGGAAACTTAGAGATTTGATGAGACCTGGTTTAAAATAAAACAGCCCTGAATGTAGCTCAGTGTTGAGGCCCTGGGTCCCATTTCCGATATAATCTCAAATATAAAATCAGTAAATGAGTACTGTCAAGTTGTTGTTGTTGTTGTTGTTGTTGTTGATTTTGGATTTTGAAAGCCTTTCTGGCTTTGCTGCTGGTTTTGGTTTGTTTAAGCAAGGTGTCACTAGTTCAGGCTGGCTTTGAGTTCAGTATGTAAGTAACCCTCCTGCCTCAGCCTCCCAAGTGCTGGGATTGCAGGCATGCGTCCCCACACTGGGCTTGTGCTGCTTTGAAGAAACAGTCTAAAGTGTGTGGCCAGGGGGCCAGGGCCACAGTGAGAGGCTGGTGGTGCTCGGCCCAGGCTGGGGGCCAGAGCTGCCTGTGTGCCCTGCGTGTTGGGTGGTCACGGTTTAGCTGAGCGCAGTCACAAAGACCTGGTATCTGTTCGTCACCAGGGCAGTGACTTGGGTTGGAGAAAGCCTCCCCTCTTTTTTTTTTTTAAAAAAGGAAAACTGCAGGATGGGGTGGTGTATGCCTGTAACCCCAGCACTTGGAGACGGAGGCAGGAGGATGACAAGTATGAGGTCAACCTGAGCTATATAGTGAGATCCCTTCTCCCCGTCCCTGAGAAAGGAATATGTGTGGAATGGGGTAGCTCCTGAGAGACAGGATTCCCAGGTAGGTTGCCAGCGAGTCCACCTCTCTGAAAGTTTTATAGAGCCAAGTCTCCAGGGGTGGGTATGACACAGGTCAAATTAATGATGGACAAATAGGATTACAAGTACAGCCATTTAGATAATATATTGATCCAATAGTAGCAAGGGGATGTGGGTGACATCAGGAACCTTGGTGACCATCAGGCTTTATTTATTTATTTATTTATTTATTTTTGGCGAAACCAGGGATTGAACCCAGGCTGTTGCGCTTGCCAGGGAAGCGCGTATTCCACTGAGCCACCTCCTTGGCCCCTGTTTTACCTTTAGTTTTGGGCATCTTAGTCTTGGTGGAAGAGGATGGCCCAGCCCTAGTGAGAGTGTGGCTTATTTAGGTGGCGAGTTTCAGAATGTGGCGTCGGTGATCTCAAGCCTCGGTAGGGAGAACACAGATTTGGCTGTTGTGATCTCAGTCTTCCAAAGGGCCTCTTCCCTTTTCTGACTGCCTGCATGTCTGCCTGAGGTCGCTGGGTACCACATGCACCTCTGAGGAGGTGCCCTAACTGCAGGGAGAGGAGAAGGGCCTCTAGCTGCCTGGGCCAGTCGGGTGGTATAGGGAGAGTGAGTCTTGGGCCTCGGCTGGAAGTCCTGGTTTTATTTATTTATTTATTTATTTTTTACATTTATTTATTTATTGTGTGTGTGTGTGTGTGTGTGTGTGTGTGTGGCCAGCTCAGCCCACCAGGGGGCTGCTGCCTGGCATGTGGTGCTGGGGGAACTGAACCGCGGTCCCTGTGCTTTGCCAAGCTTGTTCCAAGTAGGTGCTTTAGACCGCTGAGCCACCTCGCCAGCCCCTGGAAGTCCTGTTGCAGTGCAGGCCTGAGCTCCTTTAACAGGGCCCCCGTGGGCCCCCGTCAAGGAGTCCCGCACTTTGCGTTGGTTCCATCTGCACAGTCATTTGGAATTTGGCAGCCTCTCTAAGAGCAGCAAGGTTTACTGGGGAAAGGAGATGGGGATAGAATAGCTTTTTTTTTTTTTTAAGGAAAGATCATAGTGGGCTGCCATTGCCCAGACTTAAAAAGCAGTTGGCTGTGGTGGTGCACATCTATAAACCCAGGTGCTCTGGAGGCCGAGGCAGGAGAATCCCAGCTTAGCACAGGCAGTCTAGCAAGATTCTGCCTCAAGAGGAGAAGGGGCGTTGTAGCCCTGTGTTAGAGCACTGTACCTCGTATGTGTGTGCACCTGGGTTCTGTCCCTAGTGCCCTCCCAAATACCACTGAAAGCATCCTGGGGATGTGGCCAGGGAACCTATGGTTGCAAAAAGACCTAAATGTGGAGAATTGCACGAGGCCGGTATTGAAAACGTAGAGTCCAGTGGAGGAAATCGGACACCAGCAGGCCTCGGGATGGGGCAGGAACAAGTTTAGGTGGTAGTCAGTGCGCCTGTCCAAGTGCAGTGGCAGCTCAGGGCCACCAGGCTGGAGCCCAGGGTGGCCTAGTCCAGGAGTCCTTGGTGAGGGGGAGGGCCGGTCACGCTGGGTGCTTGGTGGGCGTGGTGTGGTGTGTTGGGGGCTGCGGTGCTCTCCAGGACAGCAGGCTCCCTGTCTGCCCAGCCAGTGCTCCCCTCCCCCGTTGTGGCCTTGAGATCGTGCCCGGCGGGCTGCGCATCTGGACATATGTTGGCAGAGCCATGGTAACGGGAGAGTGGAAGGGCCTCAAAAGCTGGTGTGTCCCCTCTAGAGAGGTGGCCATCCACCATGTAATCCACTGCCAGCCAACCAGCCCCAAGCTAGGGCAGAGGAACCCCAGGATGTTTGGGGACAGAGAAGACGTGCAGGGAGTGTGCAGGCGCTGGGCTTGGGGCCGCCGGCAGCTGCCGCTTCCTCGATATATTCTGTTCTTCCTTTACAGCCGCATCTGGGACACTGCGTCCGGACAGTGCCTGAAGACACTCATCGGTGAGTCACCCTGCGGGTCACTGTGGGCTCCTGCTGACCTCTGTGACTTTGCCCCTCGCTTTTCCCTGAGCCACCTGTCCTGTGCTCTCCTGCCCAGCCTTTGGCCCGCCTCTGCGGGAGCCCCTTGCTCCTGTTCCTGTCTCTGCTGGTGCCTCCTTCCTGACCAAGGGCACCCCACTCCTCCGCAGGACTCGTGGTGCCTTTGGGCGCTTGGCCTGTGCTGTCCAAGGAGCCCTTCTCCAGATACTGTGGGCCGGGGCTCCGCCTGCTGGGAGGAGGGGCTGCATGCAGGGTGCTGCTGAGGCGGGGCTGGATCCCTCGGTCAGCACTGCAGAGGGGCAGCCGGTGACCCTGGGTGGGCAGTGGCCTGGGCAGGGCTGCTTAGGACCGCAGGGTGGCGAGGCTGGTCCCCCGTGCAGGGGTGTCCTGACTGCAGTAGTGGGGACAGGGAAGGGAGCCACCAAGGAGGTGCCATTCTCACCTGTGTCTGGGAGGTGAAAGTGATGCAGGGCCAGGAGAGGAGTCCATGGGCCGTCCTTGCCTGCAGGTCCTCTCCCTGCGTCCCACACAGCCAGGCCCCGGGTGCTGTGAGCTCTGTGTCCAAGGCCCTCTTCCAGGACAAGATGGGCAGCTGCCCTCAGGCAGGGGCTGGTGGGGGGGTGGGGGGACGGACTCAGGGTGATCCTGAAGCAGGGCCTTGGGCTTCCTGGTGGAAGTGCCCTTTGGCTTCCCAACTTACACCTCGGATTGTCAGGGTTAAACTTGTTGGTGAGTTGTCCACTAGGACCGTGTCCTCCCTGGAGTCACAGTGAGGGGCTGACACCTGCACGAGTGACGTGTGGCCCCGCCGCCTGCACGTCAGATCTAGGACAGCAGTCAGTGAACTTTCTCAGTGGCACAGCCACGCTTGGCTGTCAGGCCCACACGGCTGGTGTGATGTGCACAGGACCCAGGCCTGGGTCCCACCGCATGAACATCTGTGGACTGTGCACCCCGAAAGTGGGCGCTGTGCTGTGCACAGGAAGGGCACAGGTGGCATCTGGGGTAGGGATGGAACACCAGCCCCGGGCCACCGTGCGTGGGTCGAGGTTGTAGCCGGGTGGCCTTCCTGGCAGTCCACCTGCCATGCCCATGGCAGTGCTGGGGCTGTTGGTGGCAGATCACATTCTTCTTCTGTGGATTCTGCAATTTGTCGTATTTCTGCAATGTTTTGGGGGCCTCACTGTGCACTTCAGGCTGGCCTTACCTCACCATGGAGCCCAGGCTGGCCTCAAGACTCGGTGGTCCTGCCTCAGCCCCCTCAGTGCTGGGATGACAGACATGTTCCCGCATGCCTGCTCCTTTATTTCTGCAGTATTTTTTTGCCTCGGGTTGATTGGCCCCTTGATGGGCGGCCAGCCAGCCGGTGTGGGTGCCAGGCAGGCCTGAGTGCCCGAGCTGCAGGGTGCAGGGTGCAGGGTGCGGGCGGGCTCGTCTAGGAGAGGTGAGCAGTGCGCTGGGCTGCGCTGGGGGTGGCGGGAGTGACTTCTGGACCGAAGGGGCCCTGGCAATAACTGTCTTGTGTGCCTTTCAGTGTGGGTGCCCAACCTGAGGGAGCTGTGGCCGCGGCGAGTCCGTGGTAATGCGTGTGCTGGGGCACGCCGGGGTCTCCCCGGGGTGAGGCGCGGGCAGGCGCCTTGCTTCGTGGGTGAGGATGGGCGCGGCGTGGCCTCCTCAGCAGTGGCTGGCGGCTCTCCCAGCTGTGGGCCACAGGCTGAGCTTAGAGCCAGGGCGCCAGGAGAAGAGGCGGCCGCGTGGCTGAGGCTGCCTCCCGCAGGACGGCGCTCGCCGTTCTCTTCCCAGCCTCCTTGGGGATTTGCAGGCACACGGGAGGCTCGGTGACCCCAGGGCTGCTTGCCCCTGGCCCTTCACTCCTAAGCCCTGGCGTCTAAGGAGGCTTGAGAGGCACTCAGGACACGGGAAGGGTGTGGGGCAGCGTTGTGGGCTCAAGGATGGTGGTGGTGTAGCGGTGGCAGCAACCTCAGAGCCGTCTCTCACACATGGTGATGTGGTGGTGGGCACTGGGCCCGCCCGCTGCCACTCATGATCTGTTTCCCACGCAGATGATGACAACCCTCCTGTGTCCTTTGTGAAGTTCTCTCCGAATGGCAAATACATCCTGGCTGCCACGCTGGACAAGTAAGAGCTCTGTGTGGGCTCCCAGGCATCTCCCCCTGGGACCCAGGATCCGGTCATCTGTGGGGAGCCAGAGGAGGCCTTGCCGATTTTGGTCTGAGGATTTGGGGTACGGCCTGCTCCGGAGCCCTGAGCAGAGCTGAGCCTGCCCACATAGGGTGCACAGGCCTTCCAGCCCTGACCCCTGGGCTCCTTGTGGTCACCCAGACTGGCACCTGACCGTAGCCGCAGGCAGACTGCAAGCGCACTCGCTCCCTGGGTGGCTGTTGCAGCCCTGGCCGGTCCTGTGTGTGTGTGTGCTGTATGGCTCGGCTCCCCAGGAACCCGCGGTGGGCCCTCTCCCCGTCAGCTCCCTCTGTGCTCAGGATGCCCCGGAGGCCCCACCTCCCCGAGGCTTCCTTCCTCTGTGGTGTCACCTCACGGGCACAGGAGCCCCGAGAGTCCCACACTGCATGGGCAGCGCTCACCCTGTCCCATCTGTCTTCCAGCACACTGAAGCTCTGGGACTACAGCAAGGGCAAGGTGAGCTCCAGCGCGCCGGCCTGGCCTGCTGTGTGCCATGTTGCGGGGACCAGCGGCGGGTTCGGGCTGCCCTGCGAGTGGGACCGGGTGGCTGGGATGTGGGGGCATGGCACTAACAGCCTGCGCCTCCTTCCCAGTGCCTGAAGACCTACACGGGTCACAAGAACGAGAAGTACTGCATATTTGCCAATTTCTCCGTGACTGGGGGCAAGGTGAGTGTGGCTTCCGCTGCTGGCCACATAGTGTGCCCTGGGGTCGGAGTTGGCAGGGCAGGCTTGCTCCCCGTCTCCTTCTGATGTGCTCATGCATCGGGCAGGCGGTTCTGGGTGGTGGGTGCGACGGCGATCTCAGGCTCCCGTCCTGTGTGTAGATTCTGGCTGTGCCCCCACCCTCCAGTGTCAGGCCCCTAGACTTGGACAGGGGACGAAGTGTGGGTGGTGACACTGGGTGAAGTATAAGTGACCTTGGAGCTCTGGGACAGCTTCTAGCGTGGAGTCCCCCTGGGGTTCCCTGAGCATGGCAGCTGCACCAGCCAGGTAAGGACGGGCGCAAGCCGCTGACCTGCTCTTGCTCCTCCTGGGTCTGCCACTGTGACAGTGGATCGTGTCTGGCTCTGAGGACAACCTGGTGTACATCTGGAACCTGCAGACCAAGGAGATCGTCCAGAAGCTGCAAGGCCACACAGGTGGGAAGCGCGCCAGGACGCAGGGTGTGCCCTGCCCTGTCCCCAACCCCAGAGCTGCGGTACTGGCTCCTGCCTGCCCTCCCCTCCGTCATATGTCCTGGGCCCGTCCTTCATGCCGCAGCCCTGCTGTGGGCCACAGGCTCCCTGCCACTTAGGTGCTGAGGGTGCCACTGCACCCAGCCCTGAGGGCCTGGGATGGCCCCACACTGCCTCGGCACATAACCCCTTGGAGACCCCAGCAGGGCTGTGCCTTCTCCCTCACAGGCCAGCCACCCGCCCACCCGATCGACTAGGGTCAGCTGTCCTCACGGTATGGCCAGCTCAGGCAGCAGCAGAGTCCTGGGGTCCAGGGTGTTATGCACCCAAAGTGCAGGTGTTCCTGGGGTGCAGCTGTCACCCTGCAGTTGCTAGTCGGCAGCAGTGGGGGGTCAGCATGGGTGGGGGCCCAGGGCATGTGGACAGGCACAGGGACCCTGCCACTGTTCCCCGAGCTCCTGTGCCTAGCAGGCCTGTGGTGGTTTGTGGTCAGGCCAGGCTGCGGCCTGGGTGCTGAGAATCCTGGTGAGGGGCAGCCCCAGGTGAGGGGCAGCCTGACCTCTCTATTTGCAGATGTGGTGATCTCGACGGCTTGTCACCCCACGGAGAACATCATTGCCTCGGCCGCCTTAGAGAACGACAAAACCATTAAACTGTGGAAGAGTGACTGCTAATCCTCCTGGCTCAGAGACTGTTGGAAGTCGACATTGGCAGGAAGTGGGGTGTGGCACAGGTGTGGGGCCCAGGCGGCCGCAGCACACGCCGCTCAGGACGGTGAGCTGAGGGGTGTGCACCCCAGGACGCTCCAGCACCTCGGGGACATTTTTTGCTAGCTCTGTCCCGCCCAGGGAGGAGTTCCTAGTTCACTTGCTCAGAGGCAACAAAAGTTTTTAATTTTTTATTACAAGAGAGCGAAGTTCGATTTATCATGGGTTGTTTTTTTCCAGGAATTGTTGTGTACATTTTTGATATTTCCTACCCAGTGGGAACGCACACTGTGGCCGGCTCAGTGGCCCGGTGTGGGTTTCCTTCTGGCGCTGCCAGCTCAGTCCCTCCAGAGTGGTGCCTGGTACGTCTTCTCATCTTCTGGAACACAAAGCCTGTGTAGTGACTTCAGGTCCAGTCCCTTTGGGTCAAGATTTCTGGGCCACGGTGACCCAACGGCAGCTGTGGGCCGTGTCCCCTTCCTCTCTGGCGTCCACACAGCTGCACAAACTGTAATAAAAGGTGGGATTTTGTACTCATTGTGACGGGAGCTCATCTCCGCCTGGCTTGTCACCCACTTGGCAGGGGCCGGTGGGCAAGGGGGTCCTCTCAGGGTGCCACCAGTGGTTCCTCCCATCGAAGGCTGGGCTTCCTGTGGTGCCTGCAGCCGAGTGCCCTAGGTGGGCCTTTTTGGGCCTGTGAGTGCCACTGTCACCTGCATCCTGGGCCAGGCTCAGTGGGAAGGAATAATGGCCTAGTGTCCTTAGGCTCGGCCTCATGCCGCCCTGGTGTCCTCAGGCACCCTGGTGCACCTGGTGTCACCTGAGCCTCCTGCCCAGCCCCACCCCTGCTGGAGCCACTGGCATGTGGCCCCTCAGGGATGAGGTCTGAGGGATGGTGGGGGCCAGGCTTCCTGCTGCAGCCTGGCTGTGCCCACCTGACCGGAAGGAGCTGGGCGGGGCTCCACCCCAAGTCTGCACCTGGAGAGGCGAGTGCGGTTGCAGGGGCGCCCCACACCGCTCTGCTGGGCCCCTTCTGCAGCATCAGGGAGCCAGGCTCGCGCCGCGCCGGGTGTGTAGAGCCCAGTACGTGGGGCCGGCGCCCAGGCTGAGCCTGGAGGACCTTAGTAGGACAGACAGGCCCAGAGCTGGAGGGCGCGTGGGGACCCGCAGCAAGTCCCTGAGCACCCTCTGTCTGCCGGCACGGAGGCTCCGAGGAAGACGGCACGCAGCGCGCTGGTGGTGGCAGGGTGTCTCCTGCCCGCAGGAGGGGCTCTGGCCCTAACGCCCTTGGGTGGGGTCCGAGGCCCGCGCCTTCTGCCTGTGTGACAGGTGCCTGCTGCTGCTGGCTTCTCAAGGGCGCGCTCTGCCTGGCGGTGGGGGACAGCCCTTCGTGGGAGGGGACAGCTGCTGTGCCGAGCGCTGTGTCCTGAATAGAGTTTATTTTTTCTACAGTTGAACTCTGTTGTAGATTTATGTAAAAATACATCTTTTTCGAAATAAAGATTTTGCGTCTTGTAATTTTGTCCCGTAAGAGCTTGCTTTTTTGGACAGCAGACGTGAGGTTCGTCTTGCTCTGCTGCTGAAGTCTGCAGCAGGACTGCTCAGACTGGACGCTGGATCCCAGGTGTTCGCCCGCACCTGGCTCTTTACTGCCTGCTGAAGCGTGCTGCGAGGGTCATGTCCAGGCCCTCTAGCAGGGTGCCGCTGTCCCAGTGGGCTCCAGCTGCTTTTCCCAGTCTGCAGCTCCGTCTGCCTTCCGGAGGGCTCACGTGGCCAGCATCTCCTGAGTGCAGACATTGTCACCTGTGGTGCTGGGTGTCCCCTCGTGCTGGGCAGGGTGCCCAGCGTGCCCTGCTGTGCTTGGCCTGGGAGCCCCTGGGCTTGAAAGTACTCCCGACTGTAACTGCCGCGCGTTCGTGCGGCGTGTGGCCGGTGTTGCGGTGGCAGAGACGGGACACCCCATCCCCACTGCTACGATGCTGTGCGGGGCCTGCTTGGGCTGCGGCCGCTTGCTTCGGCCACCTGGCTCCCCAGTGCCCCGGGTCCTGTCACCGGCTTCAGGAAGGGCACACATCTTGTGTGCCTGCGACTGCACACCTGAGCAGTTCTCACAAATTTGGCCAGGCGGTCAGGGAATTCACATGGACTCCCCGAACGAGACGGAATACTCACACAGCTCATCCCTGCTAACGCGAGCGTGAAAGAAGTACCTTTCTGTGTGCACCGTAACGAATTCACACGGAATCTGCAAGTGGTGCTTCTCCAGGAGCTGCCGCTGGACTTGCAAGCAAGCTGGCCAGGGCGCGTGGGAAGCGGGCAGGAGCGCCTCAGTGAGCAGGCTGCGCGTGCAGCCCGGTGCGGCCCTGGAGGAGAACGTCTTTGATCGCAGGTCTGATAGAGCAGTGCGTGCGCACTCACGGCTACACCTCTTCTGCAGCCAAGCCGGCGCAGGCACAGGCGTGAGTGACACGGCGCCCGCCCGGCCCTGGGAGGCGACCTCCTAGGAGCAAGGATGGGGTCCGGGGTGAGCTCAGGGGCACGCACGTCTGCCGGCCTGCCCTGCCCGGCGAACGCGAGGCCTTGCGTTGGATTCCGGGTCGTGCCGCGTGCTGCACTGCCTGCGAGAAGGGGCTTTGGACGCGGAAGGTGCGGGGCAGCGGGGCGCGCGTGCTGGGGGTCACAGCGCGTGCGGCCCCGCCCTCCGCCCGGGTGAGCTGCTCAGCCCCGCCCCGCCCCGCGCCGGGCAGGCGTCCTGGGGAGCCCTCCAGGGAGGACCGCCACTGTCGCCACGCAGGGCCACGCAGGGAACGGGACCCGCCGGCGGGCGGAGGAGCAAAAACAGTGGTTAGATGCCACGAAGTAGGTGGCAATGCCTTAACCGTATGCGTGTTGTCAGGCCCGAGGGCCTCTTCCATCCTTGTCAAGGGGAGTGCTAACCTTCTCTCCTTTCATACAACACGACTCAGCCCTGCCCGCGCGCCGTATTTACGGGCCAGCCGCGCCTTCGCCTCTCGCTGATGGCGACTGCCCGCTCCGCGCCGTCGGACTCGCTAGTGCGACGGACTCCCCGCACGAGACGGGATACTTACTCACAGTCATCTTTGTTAACGGAAACGTGCAAGAAGCACTTTTTTTGTGTGTACCATAATGAATTCACAGAGCCAGCCAATCAGAGGCGGAGAACACTGGCCGCCGCGAGCGTCGCGGAGTCCCCCGGAAACAAAACAGGGCGTCCTCGGCGCGGGGACACGCCTCGCTCCCGGCGGGCGGAGGAAGCCTCCGTCTGCGGAAGTGGAAGCGCCTGCGGACGAATCGGCGCGAGCGTCCGCGGGGCGGGGCACGGACTTCCGGGCGCCGCCGCACGCGGGGGACTGTGGGTACCGAGGGGCGGGGACCGCGGCCCGCTCCGCATCCGGGCACGCGCCTCGCCTGTGGGGCTGTGGGTTCGAGTCCCGGTCGCCGGTCTGGGCTCTGTGCTTGCGCAGCCCCTGTCCGAGGGTGGAAGGTCGGTGCTGCGCCGCGGCCGCGCTTCCTGCCCTAGTGCCCGCCCCAGGGGCGTAGGATCAGGCTTCTCCTGGTAGAAAGCCAGTAAGCCAGAGCAGATGCTGCGGCTGCCAGCAGTGTTGGTAAAAGTACCCAACGCTGTTGGGGACGTGTGCGTGGGGCACATGCTTGTGTGCGTGTCTCCCCGTGCACACGCACTCATGCGCGCACATGCAGGCTCATCAACGTGCACACGCGTGTGTATGTAGAGTACTTGTGTCTGCACATGTGTGTAGGTGCACTCACACGTATGCATATGCACATACATCTGTCATGAGTTTTTGCACATTTAGCACACGCAAGAGCGACACACTGGCAAAGTCACTGGAAGGACTGACGGCTCTGGGTGTGACACCGGGGACCCTGACAGGTGTCAGTTCCGGTCTGGGACCAGGGGTCACATCCGTGGAGCTGCACCTCACGTGGGCTCGCAGGGTCTGGCGGGCTGTGCCGTGGTCATCTGGGCTCCTGCCGCCCTGCCTGCGGGCTCTGCCCTCCTGGGCCTCTGGTGCTGCCCCGTCCCCTGTCCATGGCTAGGGGCATGTTACCAGGTGGAAAAGGGAAGAAGCTGGCGGGAGGAGCTCTCCGGTACATAAACCTGCATTTTTCTGTGCGGTAGGAGTGTGGCAGGAGGGGTGGGTGCCATTGTTGGTCGTCTCCTGGCTGGGGGCGGGGGAGGGCTCGGTAGACAAAGAAAACTGAGCCGAGGGAAAAGGCCCAGGGCCCAGCGAGGAGAGGAAGAGAAAGGCAGAGTTGCAAGCCCACTCGCGGCCCCATCTTCCTTTGGCCTCATCCAGGCTGGCAGAGCAAAGGGAGGGGGCCCAGCGCACACTGTCACGCCTGGTGGCTGCAGCCAAATTTGCAGGCACAGGCCGACTTTGGCCCCCTGAAGCCCAGCCGCAGTCCATCCTCCTCTGAGATTTCCCAGGCCTTTGGGCTGCATGGGGTGAGACAGGGTGGGGACTCCAGCCCAGACGGCTAGCCAGCCCCAGAGGTCTTTCTGGGCTCCTGGAAGGACGGCAGAGTCGGCGACAGCTCAGGAATAGCGGAATCCCCAAGAGCACACTGTGTCTTGGAATGGAAGACCTCGGTGACGTAGGATCTTCCTGGGGCCAACAGAGTGGGTGTCCAGAAGGTCGCCATGGCTTAGATGGCCTCCCCAGCTAGAGGCCTGGCCTTGAGGTGTCGGTGGGTTGCCTGTGGGGTGCTTGGGATTAAGGTCTCAGCGCTAGCCAGTGTCTGTGGGGCTGGGATACCTGGTAAGTGAGTTACCCGGGTCCCCCTCCTGGGGCTTCACGCCAGGCGATTCCAGAAGCCTCCACCGGGGGGCAGGAGCGCGCCACTCATGGCTAAGCAGTTGGAAGCCGGGCTGGTCCCCGCCCTGGGCTCGGCTTGGGGACAGAGCCGGAGTGGCAGGGTGGGATTGGGGGGTGCATCAACCCCATTTGCGAGCCTCTGCACCTGGGGAGTGGTGACCTTCTGTCTCTAGCCTCTCTGGTCCTTGCCTCAGTGCCCCTGCAGGGACTGATCTCAGAGCTCCCAAGTGCCCCCCTTGGACTGGGAGGGCTTCCCGGATCCCAGCTGCGGCCATCTCGGTTTCTAGGTGGAGAATCCAGGGCCTGAAGCTGACGTTGGCTGCATCAGCCCCTGTCCTGCTCACTGCAGGCATCCCAAGCAGGCTGGGACAGGCCTGAGAGACCAAGTGACCCCAGCCCTTCCCTGGCGGCTCGCACTTCGTGGACCTGGTCACCTGCCCCGCCGCTGGGTCTATGTCAGTCAT